CATTAGGAAGTGGAGGCTTCAGAGATCATAATGTAAGAGAGACCGTTAATTTGATCCCTCAGATTTACAATTCTTGGACTGACAGCATTAGGTATGAGGCTTACAATGTTCATTGTAAGATTATGGCTATGATTGATTTGTTCAATCAAATGGACGTCCTTGGGAAACCGTTCGATGATGACTCCAAGCATGATATAATCTTGTTCTCACTCCACGGTGGTTTTGATATAGTTAGGCTCACTCATAATGATGAGGGCTCGACTGTGACATTAGTCAACCTTTTACTCAACCATGCTGAGGAGTACCTGAAGAGGAGATAAAGTGAATGCTTCTATTGTGGTGATTGGCTTCGCCATACACCAGGGTGTCCCCATTATACACCAGTGAAAATAGAAGGTAAAGAGTTACTTGAAGTTTTTGTTGTAGAAATTAATCTTCCACTTGGGTATTTGATACCGGTTGTGGTGCTTACATCGTTAATAACGTGCAGGGCTTGAGAGAAAGTAAGAAGTTAGAAAAAGGGGAAGTAACGCTTCGAGTAGGAAATGGAGAAAAAGTTGCTGCACTTGCTATTTGAAGTTATCACTTGAGACTTCCCTCTGGGCTTATTTTGGTGCTTAATAACTGTTATTATGTACCAACAATAACTAAAAACATTATTTCAGTTCCTGTTTTAGATTCTGAAGGATTTTCATTTGAAATAAGAGACAAATGTTGTTTTATTTCTAAAGAAAATATGTTATATGCTAACGCAAAATTAATTAATGGTTTGTATGTCTTAGAATATACAACTCATGTCTATAGCATTGATCATAAAAAGCAAAGAACAGATGATTCAAACCCAACTTACCTATGGCATTGTAGGCTTGGTCACATCAACCAAAAGCGCATCCAGAAATTACAAAAGGATGGACTCCTTTCTTCCTTTGATTATGAATCATTTGAAAATTGTGAGTCATGCTTGCTTGGTAAAATGACTAAGTCACCCTTTACGGGTGTAGGTGAAAGAGCAAGTGACCATTTGGGACTCATACATACGGATGTATGTGGACCAATGAGTTCAAAATCTAGGGGTCAATATAGATACTTCATTACTTTTACTGATGATTTAAGTAGATTTGGATATGTTTACTTAATGAAGCAGAAGTTGGAAGCCTTTGAAAAGTTCAAAGATTTCCAAAATGAGGTACAAAACCAACTTGGGAAAACAATCAAGGCATTATGATCTGATCGTGGTGGTGAATATTTAACCCAAGAATTTGATGAACATCTAATTAATTGTGGAATAATTTCACAGTTAACTCCTCCAGGGATGCCACAGTTAAATGGGGTGTCATAAAGGAAGAATAGGACCTTACTAGATATGGTTCGGTCCATGATGAGCTTTACTGATCTTCACATATCATTCTGGGGATATGCATTAGGAGCAGCTGTGAACATACTGAACAGAAGCCCATCTAAAGCAGTTGAGAAGACACCATATGAGTTATGGACTGGAAAAGTTCCAAAGTTGTCTTATCTCAAGATTTAGGGATGTGAAGCCTATGTAAAGCGTTTACAAGGCGATAAACTACAACCTGAATCAGACAAATGTTTCTTTGTGGGTTATCCAAAAGAAACAATGGGGTATTACTTCTACAATCGTGAAGATAACAAAGTGTTTGTTGCTCGCGATGGTGTCTTCTAGAAAAGGAATTCCTCTCTAGAAAGCCAAGTGGGAGTAAAGTAGTTCTCGAAGAAATTCGAGACGAGCAACAAATGGATGTGGATAACACCACATCAGAGGCGAGGGCGTATGAGTCTATTAATCATGCGTTGGAGCAAGCTAATTCAACTAGCGAGACTCCTATCGTCCCACTTGAATCTAATTCATGCGAAAATCTTCAAGAAGTTGGAGAGAACATTTCTATTGTTGCTCCTACCCCACGTAGGTCTGCTAGAATTAGAAACAAACAGTTTGTTAAAGTTCTATTAACTAAGGATTCTGAAATCTTCTTATTGGAGAATGAGGAACCTTCTACCTACAAGCAAGCTTTGGTGAGCCCCAACTCAAATGAATGGCTTGAGGCCATGAAATCTGAAATGGAATCAATGTCTGAAAATGTTGTGTGGACCCTAGTGGACTTGCCTGATGGGGTAAAACCTATTGGTTGCAAGTGGGTTTACAAGATTAAGACAGACAAGGATGGAAATGCCTAAATCTATAAAGCAAGACTGATAGCAAAAGGATACAAACAGATTCATGGTATTGAGTATGATGAAACCTTTTCTCCAGTAGCAATGCTTAAGTCCATTCGGATTCTTCTAGCGATTGCTGCATTTTTCGATTACGAAATTTGGCAGATGGATGTCAAAACCGCCTTCTTGAATGGGTTCTTGATGGAGAAAGTGTATATTACATAACCTAAGGGTTTTGAAGATCCATAAAATCCTGGAAAGGTATGCAAACTTCAAAAATCCATTTATGGATTGAAGCAAGCATCAAGGAGTTGGAACCTTCGTTTTGATGAAGCAATCAAACAGTTTGGCTTTCTCAAAAGCGAAGAGGAACCTTGTGTATACAAGAAGTCCAGTGGGAGCTGCATAGTTTTCTTAGTCTTGTATGTAGATGACATACTCCTCATGGGGAACGACATACCAATGCTTGAGTCAGTCAAGGACTGGTTGAAGAGTTGTGTCTCCATGAAAGACTTGGGTGACACCGAGTACATTTTGGGAATCAAGATTCATCGAGACAGGTCTCGAAGAATGATTGGGCTGAGTCAAGAGACTTATATTGATAAGGTTCTTGATAAGTTCGAGATGTCAAAATCCAAGAGAGGATTTCTCCCCATGTCTCATGGCATTACGCTCAGTAAATCTAAATGTTCGGTTACACCAGACGAGATGAGACGTATGGCGATTGTACCTTATGCTTCGGCAGTAGGGTCAATAATGTATGCCATGATCTGTACAAGGCCATATGTTTCATATGATTTAAGCATGTGTAGCAGATTTAAGGAAAATCCAAGAGAAGCACACTGGACAGCTGCCAAGAACATCCTTAAGTACTTGAGAAGGACTAAAGGAATGTTTCTAGTATATGGTGGCGAAGATGAGTTGGTTGTCAAAGGTTATACGGATGCGAGTTTCCGAACAGACAGAGATGATTTTAAATCCTAGTCTAGATACATTTTTTGTCTAAATGGAGGAGTAGTGGGCTAGAAGAGTTCGAAGCAAAGCACTGTCGCAGACTCTACAACAGAATCAGAGTATTTGGATGATGTTGAAGCAGCTAAGGAAGAAGTTTGGATAAAGAGCTGTATATCGTACCAAGTGCTCAAAATGGAATCGAATTGCATTGTGACAACAATGGCGCCATTGCTCAATCAAAGGAGCCTAGGTCGCACTTCAAATCCAAACATGTTGAGAGGAAGTATTACCTCATTCGAGAGATCGTTGGCAGAGGAGATGTCAAGATGTGCAAAGTTATGAGAATGTCTCTGATCCACTTACTAAACCCCTTCCATTGCCTAAGCATGAGAAGCACACTAGTGCAATTGGATTGAGGCAAATGATGTAATTAAAAGTTGTATCTGTTTTTGGAGAAAATAAGTTACATATGTGATACATTCATTTGCAGAATTATGTTTAATCAGAAATTTATTATTTCTCTTATTTAATTGTGGTTTCAATATTAAATAAAATGTCCAAAATAATTATGGATTGATGGGCTCGCCAAGTTAATTTATTTAAATAACCTGGTGAATGAAACCCCACAGGTGAACAAAATCCATACATTATTTTAGTTCCTAGTCTAGAGTCATTAAAGTGGACATAAATGATCTCTTTGAATGGACTAGCATGTAAGATTGATTGGATAGCGCTGTTTCTTGTGCTATAGGAGCATAGTGAAGCTTGGTCAATCACATGGGTATGCATGAATGATGCATGATCAAACTATAGACCTACTTTGAAGTTCAAGCATAGAACTTCCGGTTATATTAGTGGAATCCTTTTACATGAGTGGAACATTGATTTCATTCAATGATTGATGTAACTGTGTACATTCAAACGTCTTCCCGTAACTAGAGATTATAAAGGGTGTTTCTTGGTTACCTCATGATTTGAGTGGGAGCCTTGGTTGCCACAAGATTGGATTGAGTCTACCTATTTAATTAGAAATGTGTCTTGGCCCCTTGAGGAGGGAGAATTCAAAAAATGTATGGCCGTACTCAAATGGATTACAAAGTAATCATTTATTTTGTAATTCTAACTCAGTTTCTCAAGAAAAGATTTGTAGATTAATATGATCACGACATGAGATGCAATCATATTATCAAATCGACACACATTGACATAAGGAATTTGAATATTGTGCACTTGTCTCAGACAAGTGGGAGATTGAAGGAGTTCTGTCTTCGATAAGTGCAATTACTATATATATCAAGGATCACTATTATGGAGATAATAAGTTTGTTCTTTTGGGTCGTCATTATTTGTTGCAGACTATGATGATTGACCTTAGGGCTAGTTAAATAGTCCAAAGCCCACTAGAATGGATCCTATGAGGTCACACAACAAAGGTATTGGGTTAAGCAAGTTAGAGGCCCATTTATGGGCCTCATGAACAAGTAACCAATCATGAATTGGATTGGGCTAGTATAGTTAGATTAGAGTTAGGATTTGGGCTTTGTCATGGACTCTTATTTAGAGATGAGATCTATAAATAAAGTCTATGCCTAGGTATGTATGACATAACATAATTAACAGTTAATTGTGCACCAAGGAACCAGTAATCCAAACCTCTCTCTCTCTCTCTGTACCACACGCCCATCTCCTCCCTTCGTGGTGGTTCGTGATTTGTTCGTTGCTCGTTCTACTCCATAGAAAGTCAATTGAAGGGTTCAATTGCAACTAACTAGCATTAGTGGAGGACTTAATCTGTGCTTGTAGACCAAGTAGAGGAATCACGCTTGAGGTTCTTTGTCTCCCTTGTTCTTTTTCGATCGCACGTGGAATCACGCTTGAGTTTCACCTTCAAGGCTTTCAACCTCCAAGGCACACAAAGATTCTCCTTCACCCACCTCCTCACATGGGAGGTCTTCATCACCCTTGTCTTTAATTACCTCATGAGACTTCACCAATTCATCAAGTTCGGAGTCCACCAAGTCCACCCGCCAAATCTTCTCTACCATAGGTTGCTTCAAAGTCTTTGAGAATTCAAACTTGTACTTCTCATTGGCCACCTCACATGTAATGGTATTATCTTTGCAATTGACGACCGCTCCCATGGTCTTGAGTGCCTCTCTTCCAAGGATAAGAGGAGTATGAGGGTCCTCCTCCATATCCATCACCACAAAATCGCAAGGCACAAACAAATTCCCAATCTTGATAGGAACGTCTTCTAACTCACCGCATGGGAATTTTGTGGACCGGTCGGCTAATTGAATCACCTTTCTTGAAGGTATCATCTCGAACTTGAGCTTCTTTGCAATGGATAGTGGCATGAGGCTCACACTTGCCCCAAGATCGGCTAGTGCACCCGTGGTCTCCATATCACCAATCTTGACCGGAAGAGTGAAGCTTCCCGGATCACATTGCTTGGTAGGCAAGGTTCTTTGCACTAGGGCACTAACTTGATGAGGAAGAGTGATACACTCATCACTTAGCTTCTTTTTGTTGGAGAGGAGTTCCTTGAGGAATTTTGCATAGGGTGGCATTTGAGTCATGGCTTCAAGGAATGGAATGTTGATGTGAAGTGACTTAAGCATAGCCATAAACTTGTTGTACTTGTCATTCAATCTCCTCTCAACAATCCTCTCGGGATAAGGCGGTGGTGGTTCAAACCTTGATGGTTGATAAGATGTTGATGGTTGCTTGTCTTTCCCAACTTCCTTGCTCTTTTCACTACCTTCACCCTTCTTCTTCTCAATGCTTCCTTCAACACTATTGTCAATTATTTGACCTTGGCTATCTCCATTGACCTCTTCAACCACTTACTCTTCACCCTCCTTGTTGTGCTCCGATTGATCACTCCTAGGCCCCTCATAAGACTTTCCGGACCTAAGAGAGATAGCTTTGATATGATGGGTGGTAGCCGGGTTGGTAGTAGGTTGGCCCGGGAGCTTCTCATTGGCTAGATTGGTCACCCTCTCGGCGAGTTGAGCCACTTGATTATCCATCATCTTTTGATGTGCGGTGACCTCTTGATGCCTTTGATCCGCTTTTCGCTCACTATTGGTTATTCTTTGATCCATGGCGGATAGGCTTGATTGGATTCTATTGAGAGTTTCCATGAGCATTTGTTGATTAGGATCATTTTGCATGGAAGGGTTGGGTTAGAAATTTTGAAATTGGTTGGGTGGTTCTTGCTTGAATGGTGCTCTAGGGTGATTGCTAGCATTTGGATTTGGAAAGGGAGCCATTTGACCCGTGTTGTGGCTTGGGCCACTTGCATCTTGAAATCTATTACCATAATTGGCATTGGGGGCTCTCCAATTATCACGTTGATTGTTCATGTACCCCATTGCCGCTACATGTTCGGGGTCTCGACCACCACAATATGATATATCATGGTTGGTACCCCCACAATTCTCACAAGAGAAAGAGTGTACTTGATTGGTGGAGGAAGATGAAGACCCTTGGCTATTTCCCAGCTTCTTGTCAATGACTTGTTCCATAAGAGCCTTGAGTGAACCTTGATCAAGCTCGAATTTGCCCGAAGCTCTCTCTTCACCTCTTCTTCTTCCACCACTCGTAGAATAGTACCTCACAACTTCCTCTATGGTGTCCTCCAATTGAGCTTGAGGCACCTTGCTAATATGTCCACCACATCCGGAATTCAAATTTTGCTTGGGTATGTCGTCAAGACCATCATAGAAGAACTTGATGAGAAGTTGCTTGTCAAACTCATGGTGTGGGCAAGCTCTCACATACTCTTTAAACCGGTCCCAAGCTTCCCCCAAAGATTCATACCTTTCTTGCCTAAATGATGAAATTTTCTGCCTCAATTCGGTTGATTTGTCTTCGGGAATGAACTTGTTCAAGAAAGCTTTGGCCGTGTCTCTCCATGAGGCCAACGAGCCGGGCTTTAGGTTTTTGAGCCACCTATAAGCCTTGCCTGTGAGCGAATACCAAAAAAGGTGCATCCGGATGTATTCTTGAGTGACTTGGTTGGTTTGGAGTAAAGCACATGTCTCGAGAAATTTGTCCAAATGCTCTATCGGATCTTCATGAGCTGCTCCAGAAAATTGATCTCCACGCACCATTTGAGTGTAGTGCGGGTGGATAGTGAAATTTGTTTCCGTTGTAGGAAGTAGAATCCCACATTGCAATTCATGACTACCCGGATTACCAAAGTCACCAAAAAGAGCGCCATTGGCATCCCCCATGTCTGAAGAAATATCACTAGAAGAATCAAAGAACTCCTCCTCCTCACCCGTTTGTTCAACAAATAGTCTCCTCACTCGCCTTAGAGTGCGGTCAATGTCGAGATCGAGGTCGTGAGTAGGTGGTCCCTGTGATCTTCTAAGCATTCAACACAGCTAAGCAGACAATTAGCGAATGACAACAACGGAGAAATAAATGAAAAATAGAAGGATAGAAGTAGAAAACAATTGAAAAACAAGATAACTAAGCAATAAACAATGTTGCCGATCCCCGGCAACGGCGCCAAAACTTGATCGGCCCCCTAGGTGTCGTTAGTTCCTAAAGGTCGAGTCAAGAATAAAAAGAAAACCCACGTCCTAAACTAACCAAAGGTAGCATAGTGGAAGAGGGGTCGAATCCTCAGGGAAGGTCAAACGTCTCTTGCTTAGATCACTTATAAGTCAATTGAAAAGGGAGGAATAAATTTTTGATGGATTTATCTATAGCTACTAGGGAAACAAATAAACTAAGAACTAAATTAACAAGCAACAAGCAGAGGTATAAAACTTCGAAAATCAAGGAATAGCAAACACTAGGGGATAGGGGAGAATTCCTAACTAACAATGATTTCAACAATTAGAGGCAACAAGAATGGTTCAATCGGTCAACCAAACAATTGGGGCCTATGGTCCAACATCTAGGATTCCCTCTCGGGCTCACCTAAACACCGCCTACCCAACCCCGCCTCGGTGGTCGAGGTCATCCCTAACCTAGTCATCATCACATACAAGCTCACTCTCGCGCAACTAGCATGCAACACAAAATAGGGTCTTAGAGGTGATCAATCTCTAATTCCTAACAACTAAAACCTAGGTTGGAATCAATTGCAAAACTTCTCAATCTACCCAATCTTGCACCACATATCATTCATTTCATCATTAGTTCATCATTTCCCCCTCCCCTAGCTAGAAACCTAGCCTAGAGAAGGAAGGGTCATACCAAAGCACACAAGAACATTAACAAAAGCAAAAACTAAGTTTAATGAGAGAAACATGGCTAAAACCAGAAAATAGGATGATTAAACTTTACTAAAGAAGTTAACTTTGAAGAGAATATGTTAAGTCTACTTGTAATCTATTCTAAATAGCATGAAATCTAAGCAAATAAGGATAATATTATACTAATAGCAAGAAAATAAAGGATCAAAACCAGAAATTGCAAGTTTAAACAAGGAGGCAACTAAGATATTAAACTATTCTATTGACTTGAAATAACAACTAAAGATAAGCTAAAACTAATTAAAATAGATAAATAAAGCAATAAATAAAGAGTAGGGATAGAAATAATACCAAAAGATTTAATCTTGGATTGAAAATGAAAGAGAGAGACAAAGAGTAGTGTTTTTGATCTAATGAGGAACTAAACCCTAACTAATCTAAAGTGCAAAAGAAAGAAAAAAAAAACGATAAGCTGAAATCTGATTTTCTAATATTTCTCTCTCTACATACCTCTCTCCTCCCAATTACAAGGAAGAGAGGTATTTATACCCTCCTCTAAAACCTAACCCAAATCAAGGCCCAAAATTTTAGGCATCACGTGCAGAGTAAAATAATTAGAGCCGTCGGCCTACGCGTGTAGCAGAGTTCAAATCGGTCAGGGGAACACGGAGCGCCCGCTCTAAGGCCAGAGCGCCCGCTCTGAAGTCTCGCAGAAAATGCTCTGATTATTCTGGGAGCTAGAGCGCCCGCTTCAACATTAGAGCGCCCGCTCTGAGGGTTGGGTACTTGGTTTTTCTGCAGCAAGGAATACAGAGCGCCCGCTCCATATCTAGAGCGCCCGCTCTGAACTCTTCTTTCCTTCATATTTTGGGCTCTAATGCTCCAATTCCTTTGACTCTAAAGCATGCCTAATCCTTGCATCCAATCCTTGCTTTCTTAGCCACGGGAGGACCTGTAAGATGGAAAACACAAATCATAGGAAAGGTTCTAATAGGAGCAAATTGAAATGGGTTAAAGGAGAGGGAATAAAACCTTAGGAAATGAGCCAAAAATGACTCAAAACCACTCCAAGTAATAAATATGCTCAATAATAACAAAACTAAGCTAAAATAGAGGAAAAAGGGCAAACAAAGGGCTCAATCGGGGAAGAAACGAAGTAGAAAAGTGTGCCAAATTGCCACTGATCAAATTCCCCCCAACTAAGTCCTTTGCTCGTCCTCGAGCGAAGTAAAATAAGCAAACAAAAATAACCAAAAGCATAAGTCTATACACTAACTCACTTTCGTAGGAATCACGGTCGTTTTTAGCGTAAACGACAAGCCATTTAAACCCCCAAGTCACTTAGGAGGACGAGTATGCTCTCGTGAGGGTTTTCGAGAGAGATTAACCCACAACTTCGCACTAAATCAAGGCAAGGTTTTTAGAGACAAATAGAAAAATAGAAAAATAGAAAAATAAAAAGGGAAAGAAACACAAACATGAATGGTTGAACTTTCACTACAATGCAATCACAAGGATGCGCAAGCTTCTTGACAAGATAGGTGGACAAGCTAGCTAATGCTCCTGGTTGAAGGCCACATAGCTCATGCTCAAAAGCTTGGACTATAAAGATCCTATCCTCCAATTGTCCCTCACCAAGGCAACCTTCCTCATCTTGATCATGTACACTAGGCGGCTAGTCGTCTCGAATTCCACAAGAGAATTAGGAGAACAACAAGGAGGTGGGCAAGGTAGGATTGCCCTAACTTAGTAAATGCAAATACAATCTAAAAGCTCGACCCATGACTCTCTCCACCGACATTGACTCAATCACTCAAGGTCCAAAGGGCTTTTAAGGTGCAATGAAATGGCTTGGGGTAAGGGTTAAAAAAAAAAAAAAAAAAAAAAAATTCTGGCTGGTGGTGTAAGCTCCTAAGAGTGAAACATTAATGAATCGAGCAAAACCAAGGCCAACTAACCTTAGTTGGTGGGTATTATACCCCCCAACTAACTCTAAACTATATACAAGATCGATGCCTTACTTATGCATTCTTATTCCAACTTTTTTTTTTTTTTTTTTTTTTTTTTTTTTTATACCAAAAGATTTAATTGGGGAAACAAACACGTCCCTTGCAATTTACATTATAGACATCCACTATGCCAAACTTTTAACTTAGATACAAAGCCAAGCTCGAGTTTCACTCATTTCTATAAAGGTGAAAATAAAATTAGGTTCATAAGGCTTGTAATGCGGGTAGACAAAAAGTGGAAGGCTCAAGGGGGTACGCAAAAGGTGAATGTAAACCCAAAAACCTGAAATTTGAAAGTAAAGGTGTCCTAGGAAATAAAAAAAGGATCTAAAAAGAACGAAAAATTATGCCCTTATCCCGAAATGAATGCCTTTATCATCCTATGAGTCGATTCGGTCGCGGTCTCAAGAGTCAAATGGAGCGAGTTTTAGATCAAGTAGCAAAACACTAAGTCTCCAAATTTCTAGCCACCTAGCTTTCATTCACAAGATGAGCTACGCCCACAACCACAAACCGAGGACAAAAGGGATCAAGGCCTAAATAGCCCAAGATATGTCCAATAGGAGTCATTTGAGCAATGAAGCTATGTGATTTTCAACCAAAACATTAAAGACCTTGTAAACCTATCAAACCAAGGAACCAACTCATATATGTTCATACATTGTAGCTACTAATTCAGCCAAACACAAAACAAAGTTTTAACACTTGCCTTGGATAACACTAAGAGAAAGAAAAAGAAAAAGAAAACATTGAAGAGCAACAAGAGAAGTAGGACTTCGTTTGGAATAAATTCCATAAGTGGGGCGGTAGAAGGTACGTGAATTGAATGCACGTCCTCCTAGGCATAAAGCCGGGCGCCTCTCACGAGGTGTGAACCTCGCC